TTATTATTATTATTATTATTATTATTATTATTATTATTATACAGAGTGTCTATAAATAAAAATCTGTTTTGCTGAAAACTTAAAAAAAAAAATTATCATCATCATCATCATCATTATTATTATTATACAGAAGAAGAAGAGAATGAGTTCAACTACAATCTCACATCTCATCTGCTCCAAAAACGATTTATTTTAAAATCAAATAGGGTTCAGAACTCTCTAGAGCCCCACGTTAGATTTTTACCCCAAGTTGTGTGGAATAAAGCCTTCTTGTTTTCCAGCACTAATTTCCATATTTTGAACCTTGGATCACATTGCATGGCCGTAATTTTAGCCTCAAATCTTGGGACTCTTGATAAATTTTAAATTGTGTAACTTGACAACGCCGTATCATATGTTAATTTACAAATTCCAAAAGGCACTGTATCTAGGAGTAAATGACCCAGTTTAGACTCCGTCAAGTAAAGTATAAACTTTCAATTTGACGGGGAGTAATTTAATAGAGTTAATCGGGTGCGTTGGTATGAAAGATATTTCTACATGTATTTAGAGAACATTTATGAAACGGGAAGCGGGAAGTTATTTTTACTGATGAACGTTCTTCCAAAATATTTTGCTACGCTACTGTAAACCCCATCATCTGTGTGCGAACACGCACGAAGAAGTAAATAAGTGAGTTATCGCCATACTGGGCCGCTTTTCGTAACTGTGTAAAAACTATCCGACGTAAAACCAGAATGGCATCAAGACGGCACCCGGACAATCTTAGATCTAAATACGGAAAACCTTGAAAAGCGAAATATCATCATGGAAATAATGAGATATGCCATCTTTTACTGCGTAGTCGCAAATAAGTCCCAAAACTATAGCATCTTTCCACCGATTTAGGCATTTTAGATGGACGTACGTCAGGCTCTACATGGTAACTAAATATTCCTCCCTCTGCTGAAAGGAAATAGTCTTTTATCGCGGACCGTTAAGCCTGTTTAGGCACGCCAACTTGCTCCAAGAGATATTGCATCTGTTCGCAGTTTTGACATTTATGAAAGAAAACATTGTTCATGCTTGCTCTAAATATATGTGTTGTAAAACCCACCTGCTAGTAAGATAAACAGTGCAATGACTTTGGAGACTCCGTTCATATTGTAGTTAGACTGGATAACAGACTGGGATCGTAAATCGTATGGATCAAAACTTCAGTTTCGATAATATTCGATGTCACTTCGTTGTTCAATTTTGCGAGGCTTGTAAACATATGTAAATTTGTTTTGACAAAGATTCATACAATGCCGTCATCAGCGAAAGCGGCGATCAAAATTTCCATACCACTTGCGGGAGACCTTCTAGAAACTGCTATACCGCCGTTAGCCTTTGCAGATAAATGCTAACATATCTTGTTTGGCGTATTTAATTCACCCAAAGACTCAAAGTTAGTACTTTTCATGGATTTCTCGGATCTCGTCGATTGTCTATCGGGAAAAACAACTGGCAATTCTATTACCCGTTTGGAAACATGTCGTGATTGAACAGGTTTTTCATTACAGATGACTGGCGACGGGTTTTAGTTTCGAAGAGAAACTACAAAGAAATTTATTTGAACTTAATAAGGTTTTATAAATTTATCTATCCTCTTTAACCGACCCAGAGGACGTATTGGAGTGCCTGACCGTTCGTAAGTTCAGCTAACAATTTCTAATAGAATTATATTTCACTCAGACGCGCAACGCTAAATAATACTGCATTTTCCCTTTTGGTTTTTATTTGTGGTCTGTTCTCTTGTTAGGTCAGTTGAAAACAAAAGATTATTCAGGGAGGAATGTTTTAAGCAAATTAAACACTTTGTTGTTGTTTTAATTTCTTACGCGGTTGTTTACGAAACCTCATGGCAACTGCATAATAGAATACTCTGGTAAGTGTTGTTATACAGGTCACTGCGCAGTGCGATAAAATGTTCAACCTTCCACAGAAAGAAACATCAAGGATAGCCCTTCCGTTCATTTGAGTTGCTCATCAGATAATGTAACTCAACGTCTGTGCTCTTTACGAAAGCGTCGCAAAAGGCCAAATTTCTGTCTTTCTTTGACTCAGACTACGAAAACAGAACCAGCATGAGTTTTTTCTCTCTGAAGCAGTCTTTTCTAAAGGAACTATAAAACATTTCTAGCATTTTCGTATTTATGACAAGTTAAAGAAATGCTCATGAAAGTTTGGGAGAGCTCGGAAAAGCTGTGAAAACATTGGCCCACGGTTCTTGTTGCTCGATGTTTTCCCGTTCTTCCAATGCAAACTTTCACTTGCGTTTCTAGAAACACTGGACATGCAGGAAATGTTTTAAACTTCTTAAATAAAGTAAAGCAAACGGGTCGTAAGTGTTATAGTTTATTTTGACACTCCCGAATCTTTCCGGCTGTACCCACCCACCTTCTAGCAGATATGACATTCTTCTCAAAAGAGCAAGAAAACTGGGCAATGACAACAACAGCAAAGAAATAAAAACAAAAAAAACAGACACTGAACCAAACGAAAAAATAAGCAACCATGCAAACAAACGACCCTGAATGCAAATCACTCGAAGTATTTGACAATTGCATCTTCTGGAGTATAACCAAGAGGCAGTTGAGAATGACATAATTGTGAAATTGTACAATGGTAAGAACTCTTACAAGAAATATTGCTCTTACAGGCTTCAAAATAAAACAATCAAAACTATACTGATGACTAGTGAAAAAAGGTGGGGTAGCAGCTCTCGCAAGGTCTCACATGAATGGCTTGATACCCTTTGAGAGGACAATAGAACAAACAACAGAAACAATGCCCCTAGCCCAAAAACAATAACAGCTGCTAACAAGAAAAAACGTTTGTTATAGGTGCAGGTTGAGTGCCAAAGAATCTGGGGCTCACACAGGAAGCCTCCGTTGACCATATGTGGCACGGTTGAGAAGCCAGGAAGTTGTAAAAGTGAGCCATGGAGAGCAAAGAGAGTAAACTAAATTGTAGTTGCATCAGTTGAATTTTGTAACTGTCCTTTTAGCTAATTGGCTGAAGTAAGTGCTGTTCTCAAGGAAAACCGGCAAAGAGCCCTGCCAAGCTGGAAATAAGCAGTGGTAGTGTTATTACTTGTACCCAGCTCGCTGCACTCTGTTGCGGATCTTTTCCACTTGCACAAAATGGATTGTCCTCGTCAAACATGGCGGCCTGTCGGGTGCTTAAAGCGAAATTACAGGTGTCGTTATGCGCTTTCTTAAGACATCTCTTGGCCTCCGCGAAGGCACTGAAACAAAAGGTATGTCACGAGTTATTTCACAGTCAGTGTTAACTAAAATCCTTTAACCACGTGACGATGACCCAAAGGGCCATTTTTCGTGATCTTGGTTGATTGCTGGAATACCGTTTTGTAACTGCTTACTCTTGCAGTCTTTAGTGAAACTGTTTCCAGCAAAACGCGAGCAGTGCCACGGATTTGGTTAATCAAAGCGAATGTACAATTTTCTTCCCAGTGAAGATTTGAAACTAAGCACAAAGACAAAGACTTTTATCGCACTTTCTACCTTATCTCGCAATGGGTTTTGGCTGTTCATTTTCAACGTTATACATGTGCACACACAATGAGTGTGGTACGCCAGTGGGTGTTATTTCTGCCTAAGGTGATACTTCTAAGATCGTAATCAGAGGTTATCCATGCATACTCACTTGCAGACGTCTACGGATTTCTTCTCCGCCGCATTAAGGTATATATTTCTGAAGGGTTCAGCACAATTAGTCTCGACATCTGTAAAAAACTCCGGCTTGCAGTTAGCAGTTGTGACAAGTTCGTCGAGCGAAGACGTGTCCAGCGTTACTTTTTCACAGAAAAACTGCTCACTCATCATGGTTGCTCGAAGCGTCTTCACCACATCCTCGAAAATGTCTTGTTTCTTTTGCATAGCGGGACATTGACTTACCAAGTTATCTCTTAAGCAATCTTTGTTGTTCTGTAGCACAACTCTGTGAAAAAGCGACTTGAATTAGTAATTTCAAACATATTCAGTGGATAATTCGCAGACAATTGCCATGTGCATTCTGTAAGAAGCTTAATTAACATAACACTCTGCCTTTCTCATTTAGATCCTCCTCCCAAACACCTTAGGGAAAACTATGTTTTAATCTTTTACATACATGTATTAGGGTTATTTACCCATCACATTTACATTCGTGACATTTAATTCAACGTCTTCCTACTGGCTTGTGTTATGAAATTTACGCAACTCCCTGCTATTTCTCGTTCTATAGGAAGTATAAAACAACATAACATACTTTCTTTCCTCGCAATTTACATTTACGGATAAAGTTACAGCTTTTTTTAGCTTTACAGTATAAGCCCCCTCTCTATTCAGCCCCCTCTCACTCCAACTCAAATCAATCCCTCTTAAAAAGACATACCCCACCCCCGGATTACTATGTCTCTAGAGCCTCATACCTGCAGTTCGTCTCTGAGCTATCGGCAAAAGCTTCAAAGCTGGATTTGTCACACTTAACCGCATTCTCGTAAATAAACTTGTTGGAACAGCCAAGAGCAAAAATACAATCTAAACATAAAACAGTATGAAATGAAGGCAAATAAATCATAAGCAGAGTGAGAAGCATGAAGTATTGCCTCGTCGGTATCCCAACTTCTAAGGAGAAATGGAACCACCTTATTCTCTAGTTCTATGTATATTTGGTACATTGAACGTCTTTACTTACGATATGTAAGATGGGATTAACAATTCTGCTATATTGCTGATGTTATTTACATCTGCATGCAATTAAATTGAAACATTCATACTCTCTAATCCAATAGATGTATATTCTTTTGACTTTTTATCTCAAATGATGTAATAGTGAAAGGGAAAAATGGCGTTTAAACAATGTAAGACCTTTAAAGCTGTTTGAAGCCCGTACGTAATAATAGAGTAAAAAAAAAAGATGTCCCGTATCATTAATGTTACAACGTCAAAAAACTTCATGGTAAACAAAGAGATAAATAGATTGACGAGGATAAGTCATTTAATAAAGCTGTTTGAGGACAGCAACTGATTACAGAGTAAAGTATGTCTCATACTATGCATGTCCTATAGACATTTTATGTGAAATAACGTAGCGTTATGGTGACGATAATAAAATGAAAAAAACAGATGTCGGATATAAGTCATTTAAAACTGTTTGAGGCCAGGGGTCTGTTTCTCGAAAGCCCCGGAAACTTTTCGGGCCCGTAGAACCATTTTTCGCTCATCTATAGCTAAAAATGGAGAAGTGTATGCGTCTGAAACTTCTTGTATGAAAGAAACGTCAGTCCATATTAAGAATATGTAAATAAAACATCTCGGTAATCAGAATGTTTGAGATTTGCTATGGCTTTCCGGGTGCGAAAAGTTTTCGGGACTTTCGATCTAAAAACAGAGAACTGTATACGCCTGAAACCTCTTGTATGAAGGGAACCTCTGTTCAAATTAAGAGTATGCGACTGAAACAGGTCTATAATCATAAGGTCTGAGATTTTGCTATAGCTTTCCGGGTGCGAAGACTTTTCGGAAACTTCAACAAACAAGCCCCAGGACGTGATAATTGAGTAAAACATTTTACAAATGTAATCCTACCAGACAAGTCAGATGTATCAGCGGGATCGGTGTCACTGTCACAGAAGGGATTGTACGCATCTTTGGTGATGTCCTCGCAAATACCTGAACATGATTTTCTAGCAATGTTGGTACAGTTTTGTTTCCCTTCAGCAAACTTCCTGTGATTAAAAAGAAAAAGCAAACAAGCAAACAAACAGAACAAAACAACTGTGGCGCGATGCTTGACTCGCACAGCTAGGTTTCTCGTCTCGCTACTTCGTTCCTGAGAAAATCATAGCGCTTATCCGAGGTAAATTAGATAATCATGAGTAGGCAAATCCCCATGAGGTAGGGATAACCAAGGTCTACAGTTTGGGATATTTGGGCAGATCTTTTTGGGGTTTGAAATTTAATTGGTGTTGGAAAATTTGCGGAGCTTTCATACTCGAGTGCACCCTCTCGACGGAGAGGTAAATGGATACGCCCACAGTTTGGTGAGTTCATATTATTGGAGATCAAAAATCTGTTAAACCTAAGAACCATATACTGATAATAGCATAAAGCCAGGGGAATGTAATTAATTGGTGTTTTAGAAATTTAATAGGTGATTCTTTACTGCTGCATCTTAAACAAAAGGTTTAACGAGCAAAACAATAGCTGCGCGCGTGCGTTATAAATCTTTGTACATTTCTTTGGCGTCCCCTCCAAAACAAGAATGTGAAATGACCATGTTCTCTGTAGTCTGGGGAACACGAATGACGACAGCTAATTTTTCGTATTTCCATTCGGAATTGAACTCTGCAATTGCACATTTTTAAAGTCATTTGCGTACTGGACAGATCTCGACAATTCTGAATTTCGCTGGTAAGATATAAATTCATTTTTGACTCGGCGTCGCCGTCGTCGTTGCTTAGGCTTCCCAGTATACCACAGGGGACGTCAAAATGTGGTTAGAACATCAGTGACACACTCGACCATCGGCTCATGTGCCCCTTTTCTGTTCTTACTACATTTTGACGTCATCTGTCATCTTTTACTGAACAGACGCTCAGCAACATGGAATGTCTTCGTTAAACCGCTTACCTGCATAACGAGGGATCACTCCTGTTTGCGACAAACGTGGATCGAAAATCATGCCAGCAGGTGACCATGCCATTCAGATCCTTCCCGTTACATCCCACTAACTTAAGAACAACTGAATTGATGCTTGATGGTTCATAACCCAACGATCCGCAGTGATATAGCAGCAATTTAGGTAGCTTTATTATTTCGCTTTGAAATGCACTATATGGAGTGCCTTGCAAACAAGACCCAATATGACTGTTCAAGCAGGAAGACTGTCTTGGGTATTCATCGCTGGAGAAAAACAAAAGAAAAGAAAATAGATATATCTTGTTCTTTTAAACCAAGGGGCTATTGGTTTATTTCGAATTTTGAAGATACCAAATTTGAAGGATTTATAACACGTACAGAAATATTTCGTAATGTAGAATGATGACGTTATATGATGTGCAAAATACACCATTCCTTCCAAAGGTCCGCTATCTCAGATCCAGTATCTTGAATTCCGTAGTTTTTACAAAACGTCAGAAAATCACCGAATTATCTCGAGAATATTAAGAATCATAACTAAAACTGTTCAAGTTACTGCAAGAAAGTGACTAAAATTTTCCTTAAGAAGAGGAATATTATAAATTTGTACTTCATGCCTGTCAACTTATGGCTCTCACGGGAACATCAAATTTCTGAACAATATCGCGACATATATATATATTTTTTATTTATATATTTATTTATTTTTTTAGTTGGTTAGTTAGGTATTTATTTGTTTCTTCATTATTTATTTTTTTTAAGGCAGTTTCAAGACACATATTTACTGAAGATATAAGTAACAAAAAATTAAAACGAACATCTTAAAAAGGAAAACATGAGGCCGTCCCTATAACGTTTCCCTAAAAGTAAAGGATTAATAAAGACAAACGTAGAAGTCAACAAGATAACTATGTGAGTAGAAAAAAAATATATATAGGCAATGTAATTTGTAAGAATATCCAAGGATACAATGTCTTCTCTAGATATATTTTCAATATATTTTAAAGCCCTTATAGATGCTTTGTTTTTTTTCGGTTTTTTTTTTTTAACATATCTGGTCCAATAGCGAAGGTGATCATTTTAGAAATTCTCCATGCTTGATTCCAATATCCCGGACTTGGAAAAATATCTCTCGAATAAATGAAAATTTAACGACTATCCGTCACGTTTACTTGAGTAGCTAGATGGAATAGGTGGTGCAGTTTAGTAACAAGCTTTAGAAATGTTATGTTCACCGCCTAGCGCGGCGAATAAGTCGGCAGGAACAGAACGTTTCGACCAATCAGAGTCTATGTCCAATTCTTGAATTCATCTCTGGAAATTATACTCAAGATATATACAATATATACGATATGATGTCATACCAAATTGGTCCACTGAAATAAATTGAAGGACAAGGCGACAAATCTCGTTGCCCCCAAGAATAATAAACGTTAATTATTTTAATAATGGCAGGCAACTATCCCGAAAATACATCGAGTGCCTCGAAAATACATCGAGGGCCTCGAAAGCACCTCGCCGGTCTGGATTAGGGTTAATAAAGCGATGATAGCTAAATGCAGCGCCATACACGTAAATAGGGATTTACCCAACAAAATGGAGAGCACTTGTTACTTCTTTATTTTAACTTAGAATCTTTAAAAGTGTCACACCTTCACAAATTATTATTACTGCTGCAATAGTCTGTATACAACAGCGCTACTCCGTCACACTTTTCACACACCCTTCTCCAAACTCTAGTCGAAATAAACACTGCATGAACAGCTTACTGAAGAAATGAAATACATCCGGGAAAAAAAAATCAAACCTGCAGTTTAAACTGGAGTCGTTCTTCAAGTTGAGCATCATTGTTCTTTGGCACTGCTGTCCTCCAGTCGTGAAAAAAGTCAGGTTGCAGTTCCCAACATCTTGGCCTCTCACTTGTCCAACTACAACTAGGATAAATATACGTCATGAAGTACTTGTTAGTAATTGAGATGAAAGAATAACCCTAATGATTCCATCGTCCTAACCCAGGATTAAAAGTTAACCGAAGTATTAATTTTTCTTGTGCAAAAATGTTTTTGTTCCTTACGTTTTGTGTAGTTTGAGCTTAGTCAAGCTCAAAACTGCAGGACAAACATTATAAACAGAAAGCCCCACCAAAAGGTTACAAAAATCAAAATTCTTGCTAATCCTGGGTTAACTTAATCGGGCTTTGAAGAACCCCGACCCTGTTGTCTGCAGAAACGCATTCCCCCAAACCTAGTATTACTGGGGAGGGGGGGCAATGGAAAACCTTCCTTGGGTTTTGTTATAAAAAGAAATTAACATTGTTTTGCGTTGAATGGATGGCCCTCGACCTTCTCTACACAATGAGGTATTTTCCTCGGCATGGAGTCATTAAATTTTGCTGTCATTAAGTCTGCTATCTTGAATCCATCATCTTGTCTTCACTATTTTCTCAGGTCAAAAAATAACGCAAATTGATGGAATGATTATGGAATTTAAAGATTACAAATTATATAACGCTGCTCAAAATCTCTAGACCTAAAAAAAAAAAACATCCAGGAAATATCCAACGAATTATGTCAAAAACTTGAAGACGAAATTTGGCTCGAACTGGACGTAAAAATGCTGTCGAATGGCGAGAAAAAATTGTCACATAAAACTGTCGCATCAATTCTTTGGTGAGATACTAGACAACTCCTACAATGTATTGAAAAGTTTAGCATCACTGATTAAATTATCTTTTTAAAATTCATAAGATTCTTCTAAGAGTGGTAGTATCTACCCCTCAACCCTTGTAAGCCCGAGGTCCTTGTAAATTTCATGCTAGTAAATTCTTCCTCATGATTTATCGTCGACAAGCCTTTACGACGCCTACTTTCATGCCAACTTTAATTTTCTTACATGTGATTAAGTCAGATCGTTTCGAACTGTTTTCCATTCCCGCTCTACGCTCAGGTCCTTGCTGCTGTTACTCCTATCAAAATCAGTAGAGTGGTTAAAACGCCGTTGAAAAGTTGAATTCCAAGCAGTGATTCTTAGCACGTGACATGAAACAAATTGTCACGAGCTTCACCACTTCTCGTTGCGAGTGTCTCGTCAGGGTGATGTAATTTTTAACGGTCAGTGAACGGTTACGGGCCAAGTAAATATTGTTTTCCACGATCTGTATGAACAATGATTGCGCTGTCTAGCCAAGCAACAGGGCTGGAAAACCCATGAGATGTATTCAGGTTTTAAGAAAAAGAGATTATTTTCACTTCTAAAGGGTTCCATACTGTTTTGCGACTGAGAGTAAGCAAAACTCGCGTAGCTTCGAGTTGGCTTCCCCATTAAATAATTAGCGCTCACGCGCAAAATGTTTTAATTCACGTGATCAAGACTGACGGTTCGGCGCATGTCTCTATATAAAAATGCTTTTGTTCGCTTCTTATCAATGTTATTGCTTTAAAGTCCCACTCAGATGTAGTTCAGTAATCAATTGCTATAGTTTGTCGTCGCAGAATGACGGATGACCAAAATTTTCAGAAGATTTCAGTGGATTTTCCCGACGCTTTCGACCGTTGATATTAGTTTTGACCCGTACGATTTATCCCACGATTGATGATTATGCCGCTATTTTCATGCGAAATTAGATAACTTAGTACGATTGGTTCATGTCAAATAAAAAACTGGGCCAGTGACAAAAAGCATGCACAGGCGAATAAAGAACACAGACATAGGCCGAACAGTGAAACCTTCCCTTTAACCATAGGCTGCCCAAGCTCTCAATGTTATCCTTTTTTTTTTTTTTCACTTTTATGCGAACGTTTAGCGTAAGGTGACAAATGGCATATACTATTACATAACGACCGAATTTGACCACGCGAAACGTGACTCTGGCCTTAAAGCATATGGAGGTGTTGTGTTACAACGGTTTGAATTTAATAAGGTTTGTATGGGAATGCAACGGCTTTGCTTGAAAAGTCAATTATTCTTATATTTTGTGAATAAAGTCTACTTACCTTGTTTCTGTGTTGTATTCTTTGTTGTTTGCCAGCTCCCCAGGTCGATCTAACGCGATTTCGGCGAGTTATCGTTCTGTG